ACTCTGTAGTCAAACCTACTTCTGACAACAAATTCATCCTCCTTAAACATCCAAACTGGTTCTTCTAATCCTAAACTCTTTTGATTTAAATTGGCTTGGATCGAAGAGCCTTCTTTTGCCAACGTAGTCTGCAACTGGCGGTCCTCCTTCTCTACTCTTGGGTAGGAAGGCTTCTGGCTTTATGAGAAATTGAGTTTACTCGAACACCAAATCAAAGTTTAGGAGTTGATCCGACCCTATCAACTTCAAGTCCCTCAAGATATCCCGTCTCAGAGTAATCAAGGAACTCAATTCCTCTAAAGAGCCCAAAAGTCCACATTCTGTCAAAATCCAAAGGAGAAAGGAGGCCAAATCTGAATACTTTCAAACTCTAAAGAAGGAAGAGATTTTATAGTTCCAAAGGTCCAAGGTCAAGTGGCTAGCCATGGGTGACCGCAACATAGCGTTCTTCCACAAAATTGCTAGCTGCAGCTGCCGTGCCCTTCACCTAGATTTCTGTTGGTCAAAATTTGTTTGTGGGACCTAATGCCATCTGTCATCGCCTTTTTCTTTCAAAGTCCATACACAGCTGACTATGGCACTCATCCTTAGTTCACCGATATATCCTTCGTCCCCTTGCACCCCTATCTCTGCAAAGTCGCTTGAAAGACCATTTCACAAGGAGAAAATCTCACAAGCCATCGCCAAACTCACAAAAGATAAGGCATTGGGCCCTGATGGCTCTCCAGTCGTCATCTTTTCTAGGTATTGGCACTCTCTCTCCCCTGACATTCTCGCTTTCTTCAATGAATTCTTCCACAACGATATTACCAGCAAAGAAATGAATGTGACCTTTGTTGCCCTCATCCCCAAATTTGAGCGGACTAATCACCTCAAAGACTTTAAATCTATTAGGCTTCTCAACTCTTGCAAAATCCTCTCCAAAGTTCACACTTCACAATAGAAACCATCTTGGATCAAGTCATTTCGCAAAACCAAAGTGGTTTCATTAACAATAGATAAATCCTTGATGGGGCTCTTGTTGCTCATGGATCCCTACATTACACACCAAATCAAGAAGCCTGGTCTAATTTTAAATTTTGATTGGTTTATCCTGGACCATGTTCTCTTCAAAATGGAATTTGGACAAAAGTGGAGAACCTGGATAATGGGCTGCATCTCCTCCAAATCTTTTTCTATCCATGTCAATGGCTCCCCAAGGGACTCTTCTCTCCCCATCCAAAAGCTTATAATAAGGGGAACCTTCATCCCTTACCCTTTTTTGTTATCGTGACTGGAAGCTTTGGTAGATCTCTGTGCAGAATGTACCAGAGGGACACTCTCTCTGGCTTCAAATCTTCTAGGGTTGGAGATGGGATTTGTCTCCTTCAATACACAGACGACACTCTTGTCACCACCAAACAAGTCGACAACCTCTGGCTTTTCCTCAGATATTTTGAACTCACCTCTAGCATGAAAATCAATATATCCAAGTCTAAATTGATGGGGATCAATCTGTCAAATGACTATCTTTTGCTCCCTGCCAATATATTGGGATGCAATACCGACCATACAGCCAAATATCTTTGCATCCCTCTCAATTTAGGTCCCAAAAAGGCCCTAAGGGACCTCATTATCGAAAATTCCAAAAGAGAATAGCCTATTAGAAAGGCAGGTACATCTCTCTTTGAGGGAGGACTACTCTCATCAATGCCAGTCTCCATTATCCCAATCTATGCAATCTTTCAAAAGACTAATAAGAAACTTTCAAAAGGCTAACAAGAAACTTTCAAAGGGCTGGAGATATTTCCAACCATAAAATTCACCTAAAATTGCCTGCGATCAAGTTGTAAGTCAAAAAAAGGTTGGAGGCCTTGGCATTCACAACCTCAAGCTGATGAACTTGGCTCTCATTGGCAAATGGTGGTGGTGCTTCACCACCAACCAAAACCTTTAGTGGGCCAGGTTATCCTTCAGAAGTATGAAATTGATTTGCTAGGCCGGTTTTCAAAGAGGAATCCAAGGCCTCTAGCTTCAAAAATTTTTTCCAAGTCACGATCTTTTCGTGACTTTCATAAATTTCAAAGTAAAACCAGGAGAAAAAGTTGTTTTCTGGAATCACACTTAGGCAACCAGCTTCTCAAGGAGACCTGGCCAAATCTATAAGCAATTGCTCTTAACCCCAATGCCCCTGCTGCTCCTTACTTCAAACATAATGACCTTAACCAAGTATGGACACCCGCTTCCACAAGAGCACTCCATGACCATGAATATGAGGACCTCTTAATTCTCCATGGTACTCTAGTCTCTTTCATTTTCAACAGATAGGATCATTACAGGGTTCAGTGAGCTAAGGATCATACAAGGGTCTCCTCAATCACTTGCTATAAAGCACTTCACCATACCTCATCCCACCCTCAGCGTCTGACAATAAAGCAGGGCTCGCCCAAACACCCGAAAAAATCCAAGTTTTTTTTACCTGGCCAGCCATCTCCAACAGCAACTTAACCTTGAACCAACTTAAGAGGAGAGGTTACAACCATAGTTGTTGGAAATGCTTGGAAACCCGAATCATTTCAGGAATCAAAATCGCGGAGTCGCAACCGCCTAGAAGATTCCTGCTTTAGGAATCGTCATCCGTACAATGGGAATCACAGGGAATGAGATTCCTAATATCCTAGAATCGTGTCTCGACCAAAGTAGATTCGAAATTCATCCACATCTGGAATCGAGATTCCGGCCTCCTTGGAATCGAGATTCCCACCCCCTGGAAACGACACTCGAGGAGTCAAGATTCCTTGATATGTGGAATTAAGATTCCGACATCTATGGAATCGAGTTTTTGATATATGTAGAACAAAAATATGTTGCAGTTTAGAATCGTGATTCCAACATCCTTGGAATCGAGTGTGGGGAGTGTGGGAGGGCGGGGGCTACAATTTGTTCCTTCTTCAGCCCGTTCGGGCTGCTGCGAGGAGCTTTCACCATGTCATGGAGGTCAAAGCAAGACTCCATATTGATTGAATCACACTTCCCTACTCTTATGAACCGATGTACTACACATTGGAGATTACAAAATTCAAAACTCTAAGGAAACGAGATTCATTACATATGGAATCATGTATCACTCAATGTGGACTAAAGATTCAATCTTTGCTGGAGTTAAGATTCGATATATTTTGGGAACACCTTTCTAAAAATAATGGGTTCAGAATTCTAAAGATCTATTGAAACACGATTCCTAAATTAAGAAATCGAGATTCTTTGGTTTCAAGAAACGGTTTTGGCGAAGATTCCATAACGGAATCGCTGAATCGGGTTTCCAAACTAGAATCATAGGGTCGGCAAATAGATTCCGGTAACTATGGTTACAACCTTGTAAGAAGATGCCCTCTTTGAGGAGAAGAGGAAGAAACCTAATCTCATCTTTTCCTCCATTATGAATTTGCCTCTGATGTTTGGGCCAAACATCTCAAAGACTTCAATTGGCCCCCCCATTCCAAGGCAGTAAAAAAAAAACCTCAACAGGCCTCTTCCTTTGGAAAGTATCCATGGCAAGTACCCTCTGGTCCTTATGGGGGGGGAGGGGGGAGAAACTCTTAAAACTTTTGAGATTTTAAGACTAGCATGAGGTCAACTGTAGAAAGAGCTAGAGATCTTACAACTTTCTTGGCCAACAATTGCAATCATATCAAGGGCTTCTCCAAATTACATTTCGAATCCAATCCATGGGACATCCTTCAATCAAAACCATCCAAGCCACCTCGGTCCAAAGTTTGATCCCCCCCCTCCTCAAGGGGTCATGAAGGTCAACGAATAGGATGCTCCAAGGGGAACTCAAGCCAATGTGGTCTTGGAGGCATCTTTAGAGACTCGGAGGGCTCAAACCAAGAGTTGTTTCCGTCCGAATTGGTTTTGTAATTCAAATTGGGTCAAAGCAATAGCCCTCATCAAAGCCCTCAAAGATACAAGCCAACTTGGGGAAAACATCTTATTGTCAAAGCCAACTCCAAAAAGTTATTTCATGGGCGTCTAGCAAGTCAAAAAACCTTGGAGACTCACCATACTTTTGGTCCCATTACTCATTTATAGAGGCCACTTGGATTCGACTTTTGTCATACCTGGTAGAAGGCAACTCGATAGCTAACATGTGGGCAAAAAATAAAGCCGCAATAACAACCACTGTAGTGCAACCATAATTTTTCAAGGTTTTAAAGTGCTCTATCTTTTTGGAATGAGCCCTAGTTTGTGGGATGCCAACTATTTTTCCTTTTCTTTGTTTTCTTTCTATACTGAACCTTTTCCAGCTCATTGTCCTCACCCTGCCCTCACCCCCCCCCCTCTTCTGTAGATACTTCCTCCATCACGTCCTTTTTTATTTCTTTCTGCACTACGTCTTTTTTTGGCTCACTCACCTTGGCCTTCGTTCTCTCCCTCTCCCTTCCAATTCTCAAACTCTCCTCATGTCTCAATCTCTCCCTCTACCCTCTTTCTACCCCCAAATCTCACAATCTCACCTCTCTATGCTCTCTCTCCCAACCCTCCCTCAATGCTCCCCCCCCCCCCCAAGTTTCTCCCTACCTTACAGGTTTTTGAGACTAGTTGTTTCTGAACATATGACTTTTTTTATTGTACAGGTCTAACTAAGCACCCAGTCTGAGCTGCCCAATACCAACATCTTGTGGGTTTTGTGTGTCATAGTTATACTTTACTGATATCACCTTTTCTTTAAAAAAAAAAAATCCAGGATTTAACATGGGCAATGCATTTCTCTAGGTCCTAGCAACTTAATAGATGCCAGACAAGCATGTCAAAACATCAATAAGCGAAGATCGGTAATATCCATGCAAGATTGCTCAAAATTTGTAACTCATCAAGAACATACTAACACAACTAAAAACGACATTCCATCACTATGCTAATAGATTGTTGCACCAAAATATGTAATCCATTATAATTATCATTAAAGAGCTAGGAAATTTCTCTGACAAACAATAATCAGATGTTGATGTAAGTCTCACCTTTATCATTGCATTGAAATCTCTATGAATCATACTTTTAATTATCAACACTTCATCTGCTGCAGGGTTGAATTTCCAACAAATGTTAGGTTTTGAAAGAGAAAACTCAAACATTCGGTCATCAAATGTCAAAAAACAATTTCAAAGTAGTAAAAGGATTTACTTTGATGTATGCTTCGCACTATGAAGTAGATATGAATGAAAACCCAAGGCCCAAGGTTTCCTCAACAAAACCAAAACACTAAACAAATGAAATGAGCTACATAGGAGATGCATGAAGATATGAGGATACAATAAAATCAGAAAGAAACAAAGCCAAACACAAGCACAATTCAAAGATACCTCGGATTTCTTCTCCACACCCAAGCAAGGGATCCAAAAGCCTAAGCTTTTCTCTCTCTTTCAATTTCTAAAATTCAAGTGGAATTGACCCCCTCAAAGCCCCACACACCTCTTATAAATTACAATATAATGTTTGTTGACATTAAATGTTCCATACCTAACTCAAACACAAAATTAATAATGACAATTTTACCCCTAAAGAAAAACTTTAGAATCCTTAAAAAAACTTAAAAACCCTAAAATTAAAATCAAAATTTACATCCTTTGAAATTGAATGAAAAATAAAAATAAGACTATTTTTTTCTTGTATTATTCTCCCCTTATTGGAGAAAACTCGTCCTCAAGTTTTGAAGTATGATAAGATGAACTTAGCATTAAAACCACCTTCTTCAACTTTTATCTTCTTTATTGGCTCAAAATATTATGCGTGGTAAGAAGAAATCTCCAAAAAAGGATCATGGTATCTATAATAGGGAATTGATACAAACTTGTCAAATTTGGTGATCCCTAAACTCGTATTGAGATTTGCATAGGAAACTTCAAACTCAGAGACTTCCCCGACTTCTATTTCATTACACTCTAAAACCAGCGCCATAATTTGTGGTTTATGAGGCGACCACACCTTTGTTGTGCTATTTTGATTCCAATGTCTGAAATCTCTTGAATGCTCCACCTCTTCAATATCTTTGAGATCTTTAAAGGCAATGATTTTCATCAATCCCCTTGTTGCCTTCTCTCGATATTCTTCACAAGCAAACTCATCTTCCGAAACATCTTCATCTTCATGTTGATCCTTATCATAGATTGGATCTCCTAAGAGATCTTGTTGTTCATTTGAGCATATATCGAAGATATGGGGCAAATCCCAATTTACAACGTACTTATTTTGGATACCATGTGTGTCAAAATCAAGAATGTCCTCCTTCAAATCTAACACCCTAAAGTGATGATCCTCACGTCCAGGTCTTCTATCACTTTCTCTTCATTCGACTCTTCATGCAGCATACTTGACATCTTCTTGGGCAGCAAGATCACCATCTTGCACATGAATGATGCTCGCAAATTGTTGCGCTAGCTACTGAACTTGCCTTTTAAGCCCCTCAATTTTTTAATCTCTGAGATCACAAAGTAGATCTATGAAAACCCCCTCGCAGCCACTTTTGTCGCCATGGGTTCGCCGAAATTGCAAATCTTAAGTAGATAATCAACAAAAACAAGCTAAAAACAGAAAATCTAAGCTGATTTGGCAAAACTTGGCCCAAAATCAACAAGAAACAAAGCCAAACATAAGCACAATTCAAAGAAACCTAGGGTTTCTTCTCCACAACCAAGTTACGATTTCAAATGTCTATAATTTATTGTTCGAAGACATTAAATGCCCATAGAATATTAAATGATTCCAAAAAAACTTCAATATAAAATTTGTAATGACAATTTAACCCCTGTGAATAGCAACCAGTGAACAAAATCCGTGAATAGTAAATAAAACGTAAAAATAAAAGCCTTAGAATCCATTAAAAAACTTAAAAAACCAAAAACTAATATCAAAATGTACGTCATTTGAAATTAGATAAAAATTAAAAATAAGAATAATTTTGTCTTGCATCATTAGTTCAATATATTATATGAAGAAACAAGTTCTCAAAGGGGTTTTTTTTAACCATTGCCATGATGGAAAAGGGGGCCAAAGTTCTATCCACAAAAGAACATATACCCAACGAAAAAAGCAACTTACATTGAAACTAGAACAGATATTACTGTCCAAAACAGGCGAGTTGTCCATAAAAGATTGCCGATATAACAAAAAATCGAAACTTAATGGCATTCTCGTGTGTTTGTGAGTGTGTTTCGGTGGGGTGGAGTATTTTTTGGGGGGGTCTCTTATCGGCATAGCAGTATGTTGTCTCCCATCTTGACAATATTTGAAACACTGGTGGAGGGTAGATGGGGCCACACTATTATCATGGAGCCACGAATGCCCAAGGAATATATTATAGGAGGTATCGGTCTCAATGACATGAAACTACACATAGGTGTTAAAGTCGCCATATTTTGAGCTTCAAATTGATAACTACCAGCTGGCCTTTCTCCTAACTAATTAAAAGGGTGAACTATGAGATTTGATGGTTACAAATGTTCAACCCCAAGCCCAATGAGTGCCAAGACCCTCATGGGCAGCAAGTTAACGGCTGATCCTCCATTAAGCATAATCCTCAAAATAGGTTGGGCATGTAACTCTCCAAATACGACCAAAGGCGGATTATAAAATTTTGAGCCCAATTGCAAATCATCAGTAGGGGTGACAGCCATGGCATTAGCGAGCAAAGCAGGATCGACATCTATGTGTTCAACTTGGGCTTGGTAATCCTCTAGGCAATTAACGCTCGGATTAGTGCCATTCGGAAGTCTTTGCACAGCATTAAGGTGCCATACACGCTCAAAAGTACTGACAACTTACTAAGGTATTGCAAAACATCATACTTGACCTTCTCGTTTTTTAGGGCTACTTGAGGATGAGGAGGTGGTGGTGGAGTTGGAATGACTAAGATAGTGGGCAGAGATGAGATGTACTAGAGGAATTAAGGTATTGGGCATCTGGCCCCAATTAACACATCTTGAGTAGTCACAGGGATAGGTTGAGGGAATTAGCACCTTGAGTAGTCACAAGGATAGGTTGAGGGAATTAGGGCAGAACACTTGCTTAGGCATCTTGGGAACAACAGTTCTTTTTCCAGAGCGTAGATCAACTAGGTACGCTTCAAAAAACATTTACCCCGGTAATTGAAAGTAGTCACCCGGTTCAAGCATGGGAGGCCTCACAGTTCTTCAATTGATGCTTAGTTGAATTGGCCTCAATGGTTCAACTTCAAGTAGTAATCTCGACCATCTCATCTGGTTTGGGTACCTTCGGCCTCATGACCTTAATTTTTGGATGGTAAACAGCTAGGTCAGCTTTCAATAGTTTTGCTCCCCATGGTAACACGCACCACGTTGCAAGCCTCCAACACAGGGAACAATTTTCTTCTATCTGCTCAAACTCCTCTTGAGTAGGCCACCTTTGCTTCATTTTATTGGAGGAAGGAAGGCGCTGATGGGGCATTGGGAATGTAGTTGAAGATGTTTTCTTTGCACAAGCCAATGCATTTTGCATGTTTAGAAATCCGGCCATCTAAGCCATGGTTTTTCAAAGCATCTTCTGGTACCCCCTGCTTGTGTTTGCCATAATAAGCTCTTCGGTTTAAGTGTCAAAATTCAAACACTGCAGGGGAAATTCCGAAGGGGGGTCCCTCCCCGGTGGTAAGCATGTTTAGGATTGGCCGTTTGAAGGAAGTGGTGGGAGAGAGCTTTCAAAGTCATCATTCAAATTGGCAAGAGGGGCACCCTGTAATGTCATGACCCTCTCCGAATGATGTCAAGCAGCTTTTAATGTCGTCACTTGACTTGGATAGGTTAAGGGAAACTTTAAGGTCCTCACCCTTCTTAGACCGTGCGAGGGAGCTTTTAACATCATCAACCTTTTTAGACGATGTCAAGCAGCCTTTAACGTCATCACTTGACTTGGATGAAGTCGGGGTGCTTTTAAGGTCATCATCTTCGTTGGACCTATTGGGGGCACTTTTAGTCATCATCCATGTAGGACAGAGAGGAGTTTAACGTCTTTACTTCCATTGGACGTAATCGGAACCTTTTAACGTCATAAACCTAGTTGGATGAAATCAAACAGCTTTTTACGTTGTCAGCAAATTTGGACGAGTGTGTGGTGCTTTTTAAGTCATTACCCACATTGGACATAAAGAGGTTTTTAACGCCTTCACTCTCACTGGACGTAATCGAGGACCTTTTAACATCATAGCCCTTATTGGACAAAATCATGCAGCTTTTTACGTCATCAACAGATTTGGATGTATGTGGTGCTTTTTAAGTCACTACCCACATTGGACATAAAGAGACCTTTAGCGTCTTCACTCTCATTGGACGTGATTGGGAACCTTTTAATGTTATAACCCATATTGGACATAATCAAGAAGCTCTTTACGTCATCAGCAGATTTGGACAGGTTCCAACGACTTTTAATGTCATAACTTGTGTCAGATGATAGCAGGGACCTTTTAACTCATGACCTTTATTGGATTTTGGATAGAATTCAAGGGGGGTTTCTTGTAGCTTGCTTGCATCGTATGACAATTTACCAAGAGTCCAATGGCTTGTGTAGTATCTGACGTGGAGGGTTGAAGTTGTGACACTATCAAGCACTGAGACATAAAATCATTGAGCATCAGAGGTGGGGGGGAAGAGGAGGTAAAATGGCTTGTTCAAGAGGAGGTTAAAATACCCACGGTGGGCTCCAAACTGTTTACAGTGCAAATCGGAGAGATCTTCAACTGAAGATCCCTCAGATCTGAACACTACAAACTCGTTCTTAAAGATTTGATAGAGAGTGGGGTCAATCGAATTTCAATCCAATGACGAATCTATCCAGAGACGAATAGATCTACTCTCATATCAATGGCAAAGCCAGCATCGATCCTATGCACGAAATACGAAAGAACAGTACTGAAAAACTATTTAAATATAATAAAATAATAAAACAACCAAAAATGAAGAAGAAAGGTTACCTGGCAGGGCCAATTGGCCCGAAACACCAGAGGCTTCGAGGCCTCACCAGTATAAGGACCGCGGTTGTGTTTACACTGTGAGTCCTCCGTGTCTCTCTACA